TATTATACATTGGTTTGTTTTTTTGTAGTTTTTAAAATTTGCAGGAATTCGTGGGTGGATGTGATGCTGTAGTTGGTAGGTAGATATGGAGTGATGATGTCTTGAGAATGTCTGATGACAGGATACCCAAGATCCTAATGGACAGCCAGTTAGATCAGGGCTACAGGAATGTAGGACGCCCATGGCTAAGATACAAAGACAAGCTGAAAAGCAACTTGTCAGCTGTCAATATACCACATAACACCCTTAGCTTAGCCTTGGAGCGGATAGAATGGAGATCAACGTGTTTTAATGGACTCAGCAGTTTTCAATCTGCTTGTCTGAATCATCTTCAAGAAGCGAGAACAAGATCTAAAAGGTCAGCCAATCTAACAGTGATCTCATCACATAATCTTCACACTTGCTCCATATGCGGCCTCCTTTGTAAATCACTAGCGTGTCTTAAATGCCACTTAAGATTATCGCACAAACTTTCATAACTAAATGAATAAGCTGTGAGATCCTCATAGGTCGAAACCGATGGGAGAGTCCATGATAGATAGATAGATAGATAGATAGATAGATAGATAGATAGATAGATAGATAGATATAATTATAATCTTGTTTGGGTGGTTCATGGTTTTGGAATACTTTGTGAGCATAATTCCAGAATGTGTGTACATAAATATCAGTGTGTGTCTGTGTGTATTCCTCTCTGTGTGTGTGTGTGTGTGTGTGTGTGTGTGTGTGTGTGTGTGTGTGTGTGTGTGTGTGTGTGTGTGTGAGAGAGAGAGAGAGAGAGAGAGAGAGAGACAGAATGAGAGAGAGAACCTTTTGCTCGCTGGTGGGTCTGTGATCTCGAATTTGTGCCTTAATGGTCCGATTATTACGTAAGCGGTTTTGAAGCTGTTAAGAACAGTGGCTCCCTGTGATGTCAAACCGACGTCATAAAGCATGTATGGTGACCCCCCCCCACCTTTAATTCAGAGGCGACCAGTAAATTCCAACCATAAATAACAAGTTAGAAGACACAACGCCAGTGAAAGTAGTTGAACAGGTAGGGGAAAAAAACGTTGACATTTTTTTTTAGTGTTGAAATAGAAGACAATGAAGAAGAACGAAGAAGCAAAGAATGGCATAGTTTTAAAAAAAGAAGAGAAGAATAAAGAAGAAGACGACGACGACAGTAAGGATAATATTAGCTGAATAAACACAAGGCGAAAATATGAAAAATAATCAGGTGGTGGTTAAGAAAAAACGAAAAAGGCTTGAAAAAAAACCGAAAAAAACGACAAAGGTTTATAAGTAGAATTGCCTAGAAAAACAAAATGGCGGCTAATTCGCCTGCAATAAATGGATGATAAAGAGAATGGAACATAAAATATACAAAGAAGGAACAAGATTTAACAAAGTAGAGCGATAAAGAGGTTAAAGTAAGCAGAAATTATAAAAAGAAAAAAAGATGATAGAAGTAAATTTAAGATGAATAAACAGTTAAAAAAAGCATCTTAGACAAAAATCAGACAATAGGAAGAGGAGGAAAGACAACGGAAGAGAATGAATTATTCGAAAGAAGAAGGAGTAAAAAAAAAAAAAGAGAGAAACCGAAAGAAAAAAAAAGACATGATAGGTTAAAAGAAGATATCAGGAGAATGATTAAAAGAAGAGAAGACAATAAAAAGGAAACGAGAATAATTTCTAGAAAAGCGTATATATAATCGAAAATGGATGGATGTGAACAAAATCTAAGGGTGAAGATATTGTTGATGCAAAAAAGAAGGCTAAAATGTCGTAGAAAAAGAAAATAGGAATGATATGAAATGATTAAGTAAACAAGAAGTGCAAGTTAGGGAATGAAAGATAGAAAAAAAGAAAATCATAGGGAAAACAAAGAAAGAAAATAGGGGTACATACAAAGAAAGAAAGAAAGAAAGAAAGAAAAAAGAAGGCATGGGCGAAAAATGTAAGGAGAAAAATCGACATTATTAGAAAGAAAGAAAGAAAGAAAGAAAGAAAGAAAGAAAGAAAGAAAGAAGGCGTTGGCGAACAATGAAAATAAAAGAGGTGCATTATTAGAAAGAAAGAAGCAAAGAAATACAGAAGCCAGAGGTCATATAAAGAAAAAAGAGGGACATAAGGAATGATAAAAACAACTAAAAACAAAGGGTTAAATTTGAAAGAAAGAAAGAAAGAAAGAAAGAAAGAAAGAAAGAAAGAAAGAAAGAAAGAAAGAAAGAAGGCGTTGGCGAACAATGAAAATAAAAAGAGGTAGAAAGGAAGCAAAAAGAAAAGGAAAAGGTCATATAAAAAAAAAAGGGACATAAGGGATAAAAACAACTAAAAACAAAGGGTTAAATTTGAAAGAAAGAAAGAAAAAAGAAAGAAAGAAAGAAAGAAAGAAAGAAAGAAAGAAAGAAAAGAAAAAAAGAAAGAGGCGTTGGGAACAATGAAAATAAAAGATGCATTATTAGAAAGAAAAAGCAAAAAATACAGAAGCCAGAGGTCATATAAAGAAAAAAAAGAGGGACATAAGGAATGATAAAAACAACTAAAAACAAAGGGTTAAATTTGAAAGAAAGAAAGAAAGAAAGAAAGAAAGAAAGAAAGAAAGAAAGAAAGAATGGGAAAGGAAAAATCGAAAAGAAAAAAAGACAGAAAAGAGAGGACATAATTAGGAAAGAAAGAAAGAAAAGAATGGGCGAAAATCAAAAAAAAAGAAAGAAAGAAAGAAAGAAAGAAAGAAAGAAAGAAAGAAAGAAAAAGCGAAAAAAAAGAAAAAGAAATTAGAAAGAAAGAAAGAAAGAAAGAAAAGAAAGAAAAGAAAGAAAGAAAGAAAGAAAGAAAGAAAGAGAGAAAGAAAGAGAAAGAAAAGAAGAAGTTATAGGTCAAACAAAGTAAAAAGTGGGATATTAGGAATGATGAAAACAACTGAAGACAAAGGGCACAATTAGAAAGAAAGAAAGAAAGAAAGAAAGAAAGAAAGAAATGACCAAAGAAAGAAACGAATAAATTTTTATAGAAAGAAAGAAAGAAAGAAAGAAAGAAAATCACAATTAGAAAGGAAGCGAGAAAGAAAGAATGAAGGCATGGAGAAAAACAAATGATAAAATATTATTATGGTAAACATTTCAAAATGACATGTAATAAATTTAGCATCGCCATTTTCCTTGCACACAGCCTAGTTTTAGTTTTCCCATCGCCTCTCTATTTGTCATCTCTGCTGTTTTATTTTTGTTTCTCTTGTTGTCCTTGTTTGGTTCTTTCTGTGGCCTTTAATCTTTAACTCTTTTTACTTTAGTCCTCTGAAATACATCCAGTTGGACATCGACAGTATTTGATTATGCAGAAAGAACAAAGGTGTGTGCAGAAGAAACCGGAAAGGAGGAGGTGAATTTAAAGAGGAGAAAGAACAGTTTGTTTTTTTTAAAATGTGAGTGAAGATAATAAAATTCCTTATAAAGAAAGAATAAGGAAAAGTGTAATAGAAGAAGAAGAAGAAGAAGAAGAAGAAGAAGAAGAAGAAGAAGAAGAAGAAGAAGAAGCAAAGGAACAAGAAGAAGAAAAAGAATAAAAGGATGAAGAAGAAGAAAAAGGAATAATATAGATGCAAAGAAGAAAAAGAAATATTCGCAACAACAACAACTAGGAGGAAAAGGAAATTAAAGATGGCGGATTAATACAATGATAGCAATGAGGAGAAGTTATATATTTCTTTTTTTAGTTCATAGGAGAGTGAATAAATAAAAGAAAAAAGTTATGAACTAAGAAAAAACTGTGAGAGAAGAAGAAGAAAAAGAAGAAGATTAAATATGGAAATTAGTACAAGTATATCAATGAGAAGAAATAATGGATAAAAATGAAGAAGAAAGAGAATGAAATGAAAAAAGAAGTAAAGGGAATAGAATCTAAGGGAGGGTGGGGGTTAAGAAGAAAATAAAGAAAGAGGCTGGTCATAGGTAAATAAAACGGTAATAGAATGAAGAAGGTGAGAACGGTTTAGAGATAACTGCTAAAAAAGAAAAAGAAGAAGGTAAGAAAAAACGGAGGAGATAAAGAGAGAGAAAGCGAGTGACAGAAAAGAGGAAAATAGGAAAGAAAAAATATCAAAAAGGAAAATAAATATGAATAAATGAAAGAGAGAGAAAAAAGAAAGTAAAAAGAAAAGAACTAAAAAGATTATGGACAAAAGAAAAAAGGGGGCTAAAAGAACTGGTAAAGAGTGATTCTTAAAAAAGATAACCAAAATGGTTATAAAAGGGAATAGCAAACAAAATGAAATTAAAAAGAACGAAAAGATAGAAGAATGAAGAATTTTTGGATGCAATCAAAGGAAAAATCCTTCAAATAAATTAAATGTAAAAATAAACAAACGAAAAGAAAGAAAGAAAGAAAGAAAGAAAGAAAGAAAGAAAGAAAGAGAGGCAGAAGAAAATAAAGATAAGAAAGAACAAAGAAAGTCGAGGTGAAGATATCAGAAGAATATTGATTGAAAAGAAAGAAAGAAAGAAAGAAAGAAAGAAAGAAAGAAAGAAAGAATAAAGTTTCAAAAGTCGACGTAACAAAATATATAGAGAGATTAGAAATAAATAGTAGAAAAAGAATGAACGGAAGCAAAAGAGACAAAATTAGAAAGAAAGAAAGAAAGAAAGAAAGAAAGAAAGAAAGAAAGAAAGAAAGAAGGGCACAATTAGAAAGGAAGTAAGAAAGAGGAAGACAGAATGAAAGAAAGAAATAGAGAAAAGTAGCACACATATACAGGGTGGTCCAAAAGTTTTTTTTTACCCCGACATAATATAATTTTCTCTTTCAGAAGTTTAATAGACGCTCTAACTGTTTAGAAGAGAGACACCCTTGCAAGTGTCTGGACACATGATCATGTGCATTCTGGTAAGAGCATGGAGGAGATGCGACGAGACTTCACTGCAAGATTCAGCAAAGCAGCGTTTCTGAGGAGGCCGATACTGCGATAGGGTGACAAAACTTTCGGAACACCCGGTAGAATGAAAGAAAGAAGAACAGAATTAGAAAAAAAGAAAAAGACTCACAATTAGAAAGAAAGAAAGAAAGAAAGAAAGAAAGAAAGAAAGAAAGAAAGAAAGAAAGAAAGAAAGAAGGAAACTATGTGACAAGAAAGAACAAAGAAAGTCAAGGTGAAAATAGGTATAAGAAAATTGACTGAAAAGAAAGAAAGAAAGAAAGACGTACACAATTAGAAATCATGAAGAAAAGAAAGGGGTATACAATTAGAAAGAAAGAAGGAAAGGAATAAAGAGGTATACAATTAGAAATGAAAAAGAAATAGATGCACAGTTAGAAAGAAAGAAAGAAACAAAGAAAGAAAGAAAGAAAGAAAGAAAGAAAAAAAGAAAGAAAGAAAAAAAAAGAAAGAAAGAAAGAAATTAGAAAGAGGTACACAATAAGAAAGAATGAGGGGCACATTTAGAAAGAAACAAAGGGCGCAGAATGAAAGAAAGTGAGAGAATTAAAAAGAAAGAAAGAAAGAAAGAAAGAAAGAAAGAAAGAAAGAAAGAAAGAAATCTATGATAAACAATGGAAATTTGAAGTCAGTCAAAAGAAAGAAAGAAATTAAAGACATTAAAAAAAAAGAAATGATTGATGGCATTGTAATGTGTCTATATCCAGGAACATGTGATTTATCTACATATGCACACATAATTCTACCATTGGAAAATACAGAGTCAACAAACCAAGTAGTTCACGTAAATGTCATTAACATCCAAAGCCGTTGGCGTCCGGCGGACCCTTGTGGAACAGATGTGTACGTGTACAGTGGATATAGGTGTATATCTGGCAACGTAGAGAAAGTCCCAGTTTTGCATCGTGTTCACCTTCTCTGTGAATGAGAACCCTGAAAGATTTTCAGACATTTGAAATTTGTTTTGGATGCGTAACATAGAGTTCTCATTTAGACAATACATTTGTTCACATGACCCAGCAGTTGGGACAGTTATGGTCGGAGGTTGGGGTTTTCTTCTCTTGAATATACATCAAATAGGATTGGAGGACCTGCCACTGCTTAGAATTTGAAAGGTTTAGCAGTTGATAGTGGACACATGGAACAGACCAGTACCTGCAGTATGGATAGAGGGATCTCCCAACCAACGGTGGAGTAATGGATAGCGGCTCGGATTGAGGAATCGAAGAGCCGAGTTCGAATTCCAGTCGAATCCATTACATTCACTTACGTGCTAATACCCTTGGGAAAGTTATGAATTCCCCCCCCCGCTATGGGTAAATAGCAGGACAAACAGGGTTCTATAGTCTTGGATGGCAACTGGCCTACCGCAGAAAGAAATAGCAACCTACTGCGAGAAAAAAATCTGCTTCGTCCGTTATGTATCGAAAGATACATGATCGCCTAAGCGTGTATCATGCATGGCACATAACTGAGTGAAAGTTCTTGATTTGAGCCGTTTTCCGTATTCCAGTGAATCAGAATCATGGGACGCCCAGCGATTAAATATCCGAAAACGTAAGTTTATAGTTGATATTTCCTTCTTTTAGACTGACTTCAATCAGGCCTGCGAGGCCTACTTCATCTTAAAGATATAACCTATGATAAAGTCTAAAATAAAATTGAATCGTATGAACTTTTTGCGCATTTTACAGAAATGTTTCTGAGTAGATTAAAAGTAGGTACCTCCCAAAAAGCGATATCTAATATTTAAAATGATCTTTTTAAATGTAACATCTTTCTGGAAGCTTTCGTTTTAGATTTAATTCAAAATTAAAGGATTACATTTACTATAGTCAATAAGCAAAATACTTTAGTGTATTCCAAACCAAATTTATATCGACTGGAATAGATTCTTTTTTTTGTTTTCAGTAAAATAGACAGATTCAGTCATTTTGGAGACATTTGTAAACAAAAGTTAGTTCTCTGTTTTAAAAATTTTGCAAAAATTAAATATAAAAAAAATTTGAAGAAAATTAGGAAATTTAAAGTTTAATTAATCTGATTTGAAACACACCACACTTTTAGCATTAAAAATCGTAACAGAAAATTATTTCTTGACCATGGAGTCTTGTTTGTGAATGGGTTGGTCGATTTGATTTTAGAAAAAAAAATATGTAAGGAGGAACCGAAGTGACATAAATAAATTTGGTCCTTTCTCCTACTAATAACATTACGTTGTTTCTATCAAGTTTAAGGTATTTTTCATCATCGTATGCTGTTTTTTCAGCGAAATCTTGGCGACAACGAGTTAAAAGAATTAAGTTTTAAAAGTGTTGATATATTTAGAATATACTAGGCTTATCTCAGAAAAAGAGTTTGTACTCCTTCAGCGTTTCCAGGTGAAGTGCTGAGCTGATAGGTTACCACTTAGCCAAGTGGATGTACGCACACATTAGGTTGAGGGCCCAGATATAGAAACACACACTCACAAGTTACGCATCAGAAATTTAGCTTCGAGTTCTAATTAGTCTGGTAGCGACTATACAGGACAGGCGTTGTCGTTTGAGGTTCTGTGAATAAAGATGACGGACTTTCGTAGAATTAGCATTTAAAAAGTACATACAAGTCTATAAATAAATAATCAGGAAAAATACTGACTAAATTATGTTCAATAAACTACAGTTACTTTGAAAACCGTTCCTTGCTGACAGTCGTTGTTATTTTTTTTTATTTTTATTTTTATTTATTTATTTTTGCACAATTTTTTTCTTCTTTTTTTTTTTAAGTATTTCACCCCGAGCAAGGCGGGAAGCCACTAGGACGCAAGGCGTTACAGAAAAATTAGAGCAAGATCAGATAGGAGTGATAGAAGAAAGGATGAGGGTAGTGGATAGATCAAGACAACTGGAGATGTCGATTGACATTACACTTGAATAGCTGGAGATTATAGCTCTCATGGAAACAGGAATAGGGAAGGGAGTTCCACAGGCGAGAAGTGCGAGACATGAAGCTATTAGAGTAGAAGAGACGGCTACATTTGGCAGTTTCAACAGTGAAGGGGTGTGAGCGAGATGCCAGCCTCGTAGGGCCATGGAACTCATGACGTCTGGGAACCAGTGAATGCAGCTCCTCGGAGCAATTTCCATAAAAGTATTTGTAGAACAGACAGAGGGAGGCAACGGCGCGTCTGTGAGAAAGTGACTGTAGACGAGACGCCAGGGCAGGGCCAACTACATTGCATATCCGCCTCTGGAGTCTATCAAGAACCCCGAGGCAAACAGAAGGGGCACCAGACCACACCATGCAAGGGTGAATTGTGTTTTTTACGTGTAACCACCAGTATAAATTTCAGCAAAGGGTTCACTTGCATTATCCAGCCATTGTGATGAGTGTAGTGAATTTCTGAAGACGTAGGTTTTCTAATGAAGCTTCCGTCTATTAGATAGACATTATTTGTTTTTACTTTTGTCATTTCTAAGTATAGATTAACACAACAAGCAGACGATATTTAAACCACAATTACGTCAATAATTTATTAAATAAAGAATACTAATTAAAATCTCATCACTAAATGACATTTACATTTAATGTAAGAACAATGATTCTCTGCAAGGTTCAAATCCAGTCGCTGAGCAGGCCTGAACATGAGGTGAATATATCTCTCTTCTCAAGACATGCCTTCCTGGACTAAGTTTATGCTTACTTTGATGCGACTTAGCATGCGCACGAACGAACGTGGAATATTTAATAACAAAAGTGATGGAAACACACAAAAATTAATATAAGTAAAAACGTTTTTGCGCATGCGTAGTTGCATCAAAGTAAAAATAAGCTTAAGTCCTAAAGAACGAAACGCGTCACATGAAAACTATTTATATATAAAGAAATAATGGATTTATTATTTATCAATTACCGGCCTTTTTCTTTCTTTTTTTTTTTCTGTTAATAAGATTCCTCGAATGCTCAGGCTGGTTGGTGAAACAGAATACAGTGTAAAAAATAAACGGAGCTTCAACTTAGATAAAAGTAAGGCTTAAAGTAAGCAAACGTTATCGAATTAATCAATAACAATTTCTTTACAAATTGTTGTTTACTTTTCGGGTACGAAAGTAAGTACTTTAGGAACTTTCGAAAATCTGAAAGAGTAAGATGTGCTGAAAGGCAAAATAGAAGCTCGCTTAATCACGGCGCTCTTCATAGCCGAATTGCTTAACGCCCGCCGAATCTAAGGACGGTTTCGCCTACAAAGGATGCATCTGGTTCGTACCCTGTCAGAGGCCGTATTTTTATTTCTCAAATGTTCAGGCCGGTAGACGAAATAAAATACTGTTATTAATAATCGGAGTGTCTAGTATCCAATGAAATATTTTATATGTGTAACAGTAAGTATAAGTGCATGAGTATGTGTATAAGTAAATGTATAAGCAATTGTAAGTGCAATTGTAAGAGTATGAATAAGTGTATAACTATATGAGTAAGTGTAAGTGTATGAGTATATGCGTGAGTGAATATATGAGTAATGGTAAGTGGATGCTTAAGTATGTGCGTAAGTATATAAGAGTAAGTGTATAAGTAAGAGTAAGTGTATGTGTATGGGTAAGTGCATAAGTGTATGTGTATGGGTAAGTGCATAAGTGTATGAGTAAGTGTATAAGTGTGAGTGTATGAGTATGTGTAAGTGTAAATGCATGCGTAATAGTAAGTGTATGAGCAAGAGCGAGTGTAAGAGTAAGTGTATGTGACAGTGTATGAGTAAGGGTAAGAATAAATGTATAAGTGTATAAATGTATGGTAAGTGTAAGAGTATGTGTATGAGTAAGTGTATGAGTAAGGGTAAGTGCATGATTAATACTAAGTGTAAGAGTAAGTATATGTATAAGTATATGAGTTGAGGTAAGTGTATGAGTAAGTGTATGAGTAAGTGTGTTCATTTTTTTTAATACAAATAACACTTTCTGACAGAAATTATGATGGAGAACAACATTTCTTGTCTATTCACCGGCGGGGTGAAGCTTTTTGACTAAACTTTTATAAATACGTTTCATCTGTTGTATTATAAGAATTCATTGCTTCCTTGCAGTTTCCTTTCGGCCATGGAACTCAACATTTGGGGGACATTTATGGATATTTATCCGTATTAATCTACTTCCTTCTGCGTTGAACATTGTTGTATGCAACCCACTTTTCATCACTAAAGGAACAATTAGAAAGGATAATAAATTTGTCATTGTATTTGGTTCTCAAAACGGAAATTATTTATGAATATCTAACTCTATTATATACAGGGTGGTTGAAACGTAACACCCATTTTAAAATAATTATAATTTATTTTTTTATTAACGATAATTTTAACAAGAAATAGATATGAGAGGAAAGCCTTTAGTATGAGGTGTTACTTAAATTTCGATTTAGCAGCTTTTCGAGCCGCCCAGGAATTGCGTCTACTGATTTCACGAAGAACAATTGTGGTATTGAAAACGTAACGCCTTGCATTCGTCATTCAAATCCTTCCAAAGTCTTGGTTTTGTACAGTAGATTCGTTCCTTTAAATAACACCAAAGAAAAAAATCACAAGGTATTAAGTCAGGATTCCTGGCTGGACAGTTTCTTTTCAATCACC